AAAAATTCAAAATCTCTTAAACATTTGATTATTTTTTAGAATAAAATAAATTTATATATTTATAAATATTATCGAATGTATTTGAAGGATTCAATTTATATGTTACTTATATATAATTTTTTTTTATTTTGAATTAGGAAACTAATTCTACTAGAAAGATAGATATTTATATAGGACATTTAATAAATGGTCAATTTAAGTTTTATATACATATCACAAATTGTTGAAAAGAAGTTCAACAAATTGTTATCAAATTTATACTATAATTTATGTAAAATTTTTATATTCCTCATTATTCTTTATATCTCCTAATTTGTATTTACTTTGATTTATTATCCCATGTTATCAAATACTCTCCGTCATTACTCATTGTTCCATATAAACAATGAATTCCAAAATGAATAGATTATTCAGTTAAAAACTCTCCATTTTATTTTTTGCTAATCAAATTAACGTATTCTCCATTTTTACTTACAAGAATACTTTTTTTATTTATATATTGTTAAGGAAATCTTTAATTGTTGTCTATTCCACTTTTTATCGAAATATCTCTAGTTTTAGTAAATTATTTATTTTTATTATTCATCTCATAAACATATATCTATTCTTTACTATTTGGTGTAAATGTGAACATATTATTATCAATAAAGCATACTCGATATCCATAATTATCAATTGTAATCTTTTATATTACTTTCCATTCTTTATTCTATTCTGATTATTCTATTATTAATATATATTAATCATATCCACATGATACAACTCTATTTTATTATGAATTCAAGCTTAATCCATATACTTCTTTAGAATGATCATTTATAGTTTATTAACACAACCATTCATTCTTATTTATCCAAAATTTAAGAGTACAATCATCACTTCCTGATATTATCAAATCTTCATTAGTATTTATTATTAAGCATGAGATAGTATGATTATGTCCATTTAATATTTATTAATAACTCCATTAATTATTTAAATTCTATTTCCATATTATTATAGAATTATCAAAACTTCCAGATATAAACTATTTAGATTTCTGCATGAAGTTTAAAGTACTTACCCAATCCTTATGTTAATTTAAAGTTTAAATAAATTTGATCATTCCTTATTTGAATTCAAATACTTTAATTAGTGAATGACATCCAGCCATCAATGTTGAACAATCTTTATCAATAGCTATAGCTAAACACCAATCACTTTATGAAATTGAACATTCTTGGATTAGTTAATAATTGAAAGGTTTGACATTCAATTGATTACTAGATTAATTAGTTTATGATAGTGGAATATTCGTTTTAGTATTTACTGATTATATTTCTTAATTCATATTTTTTATATTGATTTATTATTATTAATCATTTTGTATAGATTTATGAGAACCTAATTCTAAACTCAACAACAGTTTTTGACATTAATTATATGCATCAAATTATTTAAATTATTCTAATTTAAGATTCAATTTTGAAGTTTAACAGAGATTGGTTTTCCAAATATCTTAAATATATATATAGGAATCAGTTTAATTTGACTTCAAAACTATAAATTCTAATTCCTCAAAAAAACTATATTGAGAACATTATGATCGCTGTTATTATAGATTCTGAATCCATTCAATAATTATAGTAATCAATTAATTTAATTATTACATTACAAGTGATTTCATTTGATCAACTACACTATGTAATGATTCAATTAATTTTATTTAATTCGTTATGATATTTTCCACTTTTTCCATCTTCTTTACTTAATTTTCTTCAACTATTTAAATCATTTTCTTTAATCCAACAGCTTTGCCGTTTATGTCTGCATTTTATAAACATTCTGTGCACAAGAGTCTTTAATTCCTTGATAATTTTGGATCTAGTGCTATTGTAACGACTGGTAGCTTATGCCCTTTAGAGCAACAAAAATCTTTTTCATTTTCTATCATTTTTGGTTTTTACATTTAATTAAATAATAAAATAAATTGAGGATTATTTCACTTTTATTTTACGATTTTTAATAATTTAAATAAATAGATACTTCTCTCTTTCTCTGATTTTCAGCAACGAAAAGTTTTCCATGACTTTAACTTGTTCAATCATATTGTTTCAACAGTAAAGCTCATAAATAAGAATTTTTGTTCAAAGGTTTTTTTGAAAAAATAAGCAAAAGGTTATTAGGTTATAGTTCTTTGCAATTAATTTTGTTTAGTAAATCAATCATTTCCTGCAATATTAGCTTAATGATTACAGCAATTTACGGATAGTATTACTCTTGTAATACTTATAATATGTTATTATATTCTAATTATTAGCATTTTCACTTCTTATTTAAATCATGATACCAGCATCTTATATCATTAAAACATATCATTTAAGATCTAATATATAAATGCTAACGGTAATTCTCTTAATCATGATTATATTCTGAATCTCATGCATAGTGAACAAATTATCAAAATTGAATTATTGAATTTCTCTTCATCTTTATATGTCTTTTTGTTACTGGACTTCTATAACATCATAGATTTCTATGTTATACGCTATAAAAGCTTTTAAGGTTTATTCCATATTTTTAGTCACCATTCATAAGTTTATATATATTCCATATATAAGTATTTTATATAGAGCAAACTACCCCTTTCCCAAACAAGAGAATGAATTCTTATATATCTATAATAATATATTAATAATCATTACCAAACTTATGTTGATTTCTTGGTATCTAGATATTTTGACTATTGGAATTCTTAATTAAATACTTTTCATCAACTATAACTATTGTTAGATTATTTTTCATTTTTATTAGTGCAAATAAAATTCTAATTTTGATTTTCTATTAAATTTTATTGGTAGTGCTTTTTAATACTTTTCAAATATTAAATAATCAGAATCCATATAATTCCTGATTCATCAATAGATAAATTCTTAAGGTTTTAAACTCTAATCAAACTTAATTACCTTTAGATAAGCTTGGAGATTTTCAATCAAATTCCAAAGTTAATTTTTCTTTATAGTAAGCAAGAATTGGTAACTATTCTTGTAATTCAAAAACACAATTACAATCATGTAATCAGATTAAAAGTTTTAAGTCAACGAATTTTGGATAGAGTATGAATAACAGAAGTGTCTCTTAACTAAAATATTCTTTCTTAATATCTAAATTTAATTTTATTCTATTTGATTTTGCTCTTTTAATGATAAAAGATCTCCTTATGGATTCGAATTAAATAATTATTTTTTAGAAGAACTCAAAATTCCTTTTTTAAGTAGTAAAAATTATCAATTAATTGTATTAATTTTTGATTTGTCAAGTAGATTCTAAACATTACATGTCAATCTGAAATCATTTCTAGAATAGTATACCAATATTTAACTTCATCCTAATTGAATTGTAAGAATATCTATCAATATTATTAATAAGTATTTTTATGTTCAATCTCTTTATCATTCTAATTTTAATATTTTTCTTTTTGCTCGTCACCTTAACATGAAATCCTTAATAATTAAACAAAAGTTAAATGGACCTACTAAAATTTCTAAAGCGCATTATAAAATTTTAAAATTATTTTTGAGTGTCTCTATTGCAATTCTTTTTCAAAACTCTACAGTTATTAACAAGTAATAAGCATATCAACTAGCAAATTATAATAAACTCTCAAATATAAATCCAGCTAACAAGAATTAAGTAGCGAATATTGAAAACTATCATATACATGTGATCCTTAAAGGATAGACAGTAATCAAGAGTATTAATATTTGTCTATATATTATTATTGCAGCTTGCTTATGTGTTTATGAGCTTGTTGAATAATCTCTTACAGATCAAAGTTTATCATTGAGAAACCTTATCAAGAAATATTGACATTATTAATTTTACTTGTAATCAGAAAATATATTGTAAAAACATTCCCATTTAGGAGCCCAAAAAGTCATAAATAAAAAGATTAGTTTTTTTTTAAACACTTTTCATTAGAAATATGATATAGAAGTTAGTTTTGAATATTGACAATAAAACTAGATATTATTTAAAAGTTATTTCCTTAAAAAAAAAGATTAGGTCCATTGAAAATATATAATACACACATCAAAGAAGGCAATTGTCAAGTAAAAGATAATTTTTATCTAAACTTAGAATTTCTATTAAATACTTAATAACTAAAACATTTGTTTAATGGTCATAACTTTTTTCTGAAAATAGTTTATTTTATTCTATATTTATAATGATATTCTTAATGATTCGAATATTGAATTATGATATAATATTTATTAGCTATTGAATATAAGAAACTTTGGGATCAGAAATTGCTTTGAATTTAATATAAAAAGACATTTTTAAGCTATTTTATAAGTAAAATAAGAATTGATCTCATTTTATTGGAAGTTTTAGACTAATTATTTTTCATAATATAAATATATATCAATAGTTTTATTTTCTCAAAATCTTATTCCTGTGCCAAATTTAAATGATAAACAAACTCTATTAATAGTATTTAAAATGATATTACTATTATTACAATAATCCGACTATAAGTGAAACAGAATATTGTTCAAAAAGATGAAGTTCTCTTTCTAAAAAATGTAAATGAAGACATAATTGAAACTATCTTGATCCATCTTTTCCAAGTTAATAGTGAAGCATATTCTTCTTTTAAATTAATAACTCTATTTAACTTAATTCATCCTTGGAATTATTAAATTAAAACTACTTCCTTTTATTAATTGATCAGAGATTATTGAAAAATTTTGAACAATATATTTTGAAAATCAGAGTATAATTCCATAAAAAGAATATATAATTATTTTAATTTCATTGCAAAAACATTATATAACGATATTAAAATGAATAGGTTTTTAGAGGTAAAAGAATAATGTATCACAAAAAACCAGACTATTACTTTTTGCAAAGGTATAATTTACTTTCTTTTAACAAAAATGTTATTTGGGAATCTTCTATTGATAGATATTGAAAATTTCAAAGTTAGAAGAAACACTAGATTTCTTTGATTATGCAATCCAAGGAAACCCAGAAAATCTAGACTGTTACTATGGAAATGGTATAAATGTAAAAGCCATTTTTATTAATTAAATAATATTATGTAACTTAAAGTGAGTTTAAGAACTATTAAGAAAATGAATAAATTTGACTAAAAATTGGATATCATGATAAAGTTCTTTTGAATAATCTTGGAAATCCTATTTAGTACTATTAGAAAAGTATAATCTAGAATATAATTCTTTTTTCAAATGATTAATTTGAAATTTTTCATTAATAAATAATTAAATTAATATATTTGAGAAAGCAATGAAAAATTGTAATTTATCTATTTAGAGTAGTCTAAAAATTTTATAATATTACAATAGTAAAGATTCTCACAAAATGGATATTGCTTTAGGAAATACTTTGGTTTATGTACAGGCTACAAGAAATTATAATCAATGTATTGATTTGCTGAAGCATTAATATAAAAAACTTAGAAATTTCATCTTGTTAAGGAAAAAAATTATTTGTGATCATAATGTTAGGTGAAGAAATACAATAAATCAACAGATTTAAAGAAGCATTGAATATTTAGATATTTTACAACAACCCAGAAAGTGATAGAAATACTTGACAAAAGGTTTAAAAATATACTTACTTAGAAGCATTGTATTAATAGATTGGAGAAATTAGTGAGTGATGAAGCATTGAAACATAGTGATTCAAAAAAATAGAAAAACCCAAAAATCCAAACTATTATCATTAAAAAAATTTATAAATTAAAATGCATGCTTTTTAGCATATTGTTATTTTACATAAAGCTATAATGATTTGAATATTAACTTTTATAAAGATCAATAAAATCTTTACAAAAAATGACAGGTAATCATCTCAGTTTATTCCAAAGTATATCACAGTGTTCCTTAATTTATTAAAATACCAGAATTAATTATGGGTGTTTGTAACAAACTCCTAATAATAAAAAACCAAGAATGGATAAATTGAATTTAGATTATTCAATTAGATGAAAATGATTATCATTTAAAAGGGAGAAAAATGTGTCTTGAAACTAGAAGGATGGTGTTTTAAGACGACTTAAAGTTTTAAAGAAAAATAGATCCATTTGCTAAAGACTTTAAGCAAAATATCACCAATTATAATAGTAAATATCAAAAGTGTAAAGAAAATTTAAGATGAAGAAAGTGGTTTTAGGAAAAATCTTGAAGAAAATTAAAAAGTTAACTAGTAGTATTAATTTTTAACCGTTCATATTTTGAGATGTTTTCATACATTATCCTTATTTTATCATTTATTTCAAGGACGATTAATTAATTAAATTTACACCATATGAAAATAAAAGTTATCTTTTTTTTGTATCAATTCATAAAAAGCATATTGAAATTATAATAATCAATTTTGAAAAGATTAATTTCCAGCCTCTTTTTGTCTAATTCCAAATGATAAATTCTATATTTCTTAAGAAGAATTTATAAAAAGAAAGGTGTAATAATTCTAACTTAGCGACAATATAAATTTTTATTACAAATAGATTTAATTAACTATGCATTATTTCAATTGTCAAATCCTAAATACTTTAAAGGAAATTTTCCTTAATTATTTTGAAATTTATTTTTACATATCAAGAAAAATCATTTATAATTGTAAGTTTAATTATCAATTATAAGTATACTTTTATAATTCAAATATAATTTATAATATTAATAAAAATTAACTTATTTTCTTGATGATGTCATAATTGGAGTCATTCTAGAAACTGTTTTCTCCTACTCCTTCTCTTTGTTATGTTCTTAAAGAGCAAATGGAGNTTATCATTAAAAAAATTTATAAATTAAAATGCATGCTTTTTAGCATATTGTTATTTTACATAAAGCTATAATGATTTGAATATTAACTTTTATAAAGATCAATAAAATCTTTACAAAAAATGACAGGTAATCATCTCAGTTTATTCCAAAGTATATC